CAACAGAACAGTGGAGATCGGTTTGTTCAAATCTCTGTTTGCCCGCGGGAAAGCAAACTCTCCGTTCGTATGACATCATCAAGAGTCCGACATAACACTCTTTCTTTAGCGTCTGCTTACGGGGATAATTTCCACAAGCAGATGGTTCAACTAACGAGAGTGTCCAAGAGAGAGAGTTGACTGTATTTTAATGTTGGGAGCTTTAACGCACCCCCTCAGTCCAGCCCCTTATTTCCTCCAAAGCAGGGGTAAAAGTCGTCGTTTCGTCGAAGCCTTAGAAAAAGAGAATTAATCAAACTTCGTCTTATAGATTGATTCTTGATATTTTGTTCGAGATCAGGTTTATTACTGCCAAATTTACATTGAGCCAGGTAATTAATATGAATAAACCTGCTTTTATTTCCAGAAACGCTCAAGCATACAGACTCACACACCGTTCGCGGTAGACCCACTCCAAAAGATGGCTTGTGTAATGAGCGTATATTTCGAAACGGGTTGTTCCGCGAACTCAAAATAGCAAAAGAATCAAATGATTTAGCGAAGGTCTCACTAGAATCTATAAAAGCGGGAATCTTTAAAACGGGGAATCTTTAAAAGCGGGAATCTTTAAAACGGAAAATCTTTAAAAGCGGGAATCTTTAAAACGGGGAATCTCTAAAAGCGGGAATCTTCAAAATGGGGAATATTTGAAAGCGGGAATCTTTAAAAACGTAATCATTTTTTCGGCAGATGGCAGTGTCACTCGATTATCATTTCTTTTATCAGTCTGAGAGATAAGTCAGTTATCAGCCCTGTAAGCAATCATGACTGAATACTCTGATCTACATCGTTTTCCGGTATTATCTTCAGGATTCAAAATAACAGCCGGCTGCCGTTTTAAAAGCTTTCTGGAAACGTAAACAAGTAAAAAGTTTCGAAATTTCAAACGTGCTACAGGGAGTATTTTTGTTTACAGTATTCAGCTTTTACGTATTTGTTCAAGCATGAAACATGCAAGTTTGTGTCCATACCGTCAATTTACCGTGTTCATGTTTCTGCACGTACATACTACTTTTAATCAATATTTATTTTCCACCAAATCCTGTCTAATGTCGTTTGTATAGCCTTCTCACGCGTTCAAATTAAAGTCGGTGCTTGACAGAACGGATTTTCCATAACTGTAAATGATGAAGCGCGACAGTTTGTCTAGACAAAGTTGAATAGTTCACGCTTGAACAAACACCGAAAAATTGACCCGTTTTGACTACACTTTGTTAGAGAGGGACTGAGGTGCTCATCAAAGCTTTTAGAGGTTAAAAAGGGCGGGTTTAGTACTTCTTGGGCTGTTCAGCCTCAAAAGGTCCACAGCAGCAGAAGCCTCTGGGACACCTGTCAGGATATTGCACCAAAAATATGTGACAGTGTGTTGTTGTAGAATTGGTGCCTCTCAGGGGTGAAAAAATTTTACACCACGCCCATAAACTAGGACCATGGTACCTCTGTATTTCTTTTAGAACCACTGCGCACCGTGAGTGGTCAACACTTGTAACAGCGCGTCTACCTGTAGCCCGACTTACGATCTTAGATCGTCTTGTCTTCTATACAACTGGGCCATGATTGGAAGGAAGGAAAGAAGGAAATCTTGGTTGAAATTGAAGAGATCTAGCTCGCCTAGAACTTACTGATTTTTTTTATAGTTTTCGGAGAAAAGAGTGAATGAGGCGAGATCACATTAAAAGGGTTCCTCCCTATACGACAGAAGAAAATATACGCCGACGAAAATCGAACGCTGCCAGCAGAGGTTGACTTTGTTTAATTTAAAACCAGTACAGTTTAATCACCAGTTTCTGTACTTACCTGCATTCTACGCTAAAACTTTAGCGATCCTGTCAGTGATCCTTTAGGCTTTAGTAGGAAATAATAAAATTTAGCCGCGACGTGCAGATGCAGCTTAGCTTGCGCTAACGAAGTCTAAACAGAGCGAGTGGCAAAAGCAGAATATTTCACACCGGTAATTGATGTAGCAACAAAACACGGAAAACCATTGACAGCTGACACAAAAAATAATTTCCACGTCGTGAAACTTAATTGTCAATCAAAGGCAAAGGCGTCAGTCAGAGCATGGACCCGGCTTTGCTCAGTCTCTGTTAAAAGACTTTCACATGTTTACTATATAAGCGCGATTAATGAGCCAAACTTATGGAAAATTTGAACGGTTTTAATATATTCTTAAAAATTAGCCTCTAATCTCTTCTTGTTGTCCCTCTTGCAAAAAAATCTCATTTAAGTTTTTCCGTATGTGATATTTCACGTGGAAAATAAAAGAAGAGGAAGAAGTTAAAAAAAAACGAACAAACAAAAAATAATTATTAAGGTCCCTTTTTGAGGGACAGCGGGTGGGAGAAGGGTAGATTCGCCGGCTAGATCTCAGGTCCTAAATGAATACAAAAAACCGAGTAAGGAGTCCCTTTCTCGAAAACACGATGACTTTCCGGGTCCGAAGCTATATCTTAATACCCATTTCCACTCATCGAATAGGTTACGGTGCGTTTTTCAGTAGTAGATCACAAATGACGTCAAAACAGGGGGGGCGTGGGGGGGGGCGTAGGGGGAGTGCGTTGCGTGACATCCTTATCAACGGCCACGAAGACCTTTCGTCCCATGTAAGGTAATCCAGGACAATATTAGATTCTGGATTCTACGCCGTGGATTCCGGATTCTACCCCAGCAGATTCCGGATTCCAAAACGCATAAGATTCCAGATTTTAGTTTCTGGTTTGCTCCTAATTTTCGCATTTCGTTTTCTAAGAATGGCTTCAATGACGGATTTAGTTATTGAAGGACATGTTTGTGAATGCATGTTTGTCTATTCATATTTCCATAACAACATTTGATAATTACAAGAAATATATTACAGCAAATTAAGGGATACATTTTTCTTCTAGGAATACCTGTTGAGACTGTCCGTCTCTTAAGTCCAATGTCCATTCATTCCTCATCTTTTAAGCAAATCTGAAGAGGCGAGGCCATATTCTTTCATTCAGGTTCCTCGAGGTTCTTCAAGTGATTTAACGGTATCAAAAGAACTAATAGTTCAAATGATTGCCTATCATTTCTAATTTGTAAATAACTGTTGGACTAAAAAGTTGTTTTAGCACAGCATAACATTGTTCCGAATGGGAAAAGGTGGCCAATTTTTGTTATCCAAAATTGACTTTATGGAGAATTGTCAACAAAACAGCTCGAAAATATTTCCCTATCATCTCAAATTACTTTTTTAACTTTCCTTTCAAACAAAAACCATAGTATTGACGAAAAATTGAAATTGAAATATAATTTTAATAACACCCCGTGTATTTCGCAACTAAATCGCAGACTATGACTAAGAAAGGCTTGTTTTCCTATAGGTAATTGGCGATGATGTTCGACGTTATGAGATTGCGCACAAAACGGTGTTCAACCCACTCAAGTATACTTAAACCTTTGCAAAATCTCAAAAGATCCGCATTTACACGGTAATTTCCATGAATAAGAGATTCTCTTTTCTTTACTTCTTTGTTCTTGATAAGGTTAGCCAAGTCAAGTCACATTACCTCGGCTATGAATTCTCCAGAGCAATGATTCTAAAGGTTTAAGGTGGCCCGCCGATATTTTCCTGTTTTACCCTAAAATCTGGTTATATCGTATTTTATTTGCACTGAGATATGATGCCTTATGAAATCTTAACTTTTGTTACTCCTAATACCAAATATCAAAGAGAGCGGTTTACGTTTAAATGCCGAAATTTTGACTTAGAAATAGACCTCTCCGCCTTCATTAATATTCATATATATATATTAATTCAAAGTTTATCGTACTTGGAAACGTTTGGTACGTCGCCATGTTGGAATCCAAGCAAATCCGGTGGGATTTGAATGCTGTTGTTATGTAAACAATCTACTTAGTCCTTCTAAATTTACACACCCATCGACCACGTGAGTGGCCTGCACTCTACAGTGGTTGCATCGGTCATGATAAAACGCAGACTGTAGACCATGCGGACTGTGCAGACCGTGCGGACCGTGCAGACCGTGCAGACCGTGCAACTTTTTTGTTTACTTTTCTTAAAACTGTGATTTACATATAACTAAAGTGTGTACACCGTTTTCTTACTCTTTGGTAGCATTGGAACTGTTTCCAATTTTTGGACACCACATGAGGAAATTTTACTCTCTCGCGTTGGTAAGACAAAATCGC